TAGCACTTAGCTCATACGTGCCATTTCCCAATTATGGGGAATCTCACCATGTGAGGTATATTGATCATTGTTGCCATTTCAAAGGTATGTCATAAAGAATTTGTTGTGTAAAGTGTGTTCTTACTAGTGGGACTCATTTTGTGATGCAGACTAACTGAGTCAGACCCGTTAGCTGAAGACAGTTTTTTTCAGCGGTCTTCAGAACCGTTCTTTTTATTTATGAAAGTCTCCAGTGCAGGCAGTGGTTGATGACATCCGTTAAGATTTGCATGGGTCTCTTGAGCCAGCACACATGGTGATCAAACTTAATCCATGACTGAAACCCTTGCAATACAAGTGGTTATGATTTAGTTCAATGTCAGCAAGGGGTTTATTCATCTGCTCCAAACAATTGTTAGCATCCTGCTGGAGTGAATAATCATGTTAGGACTGAGTTCCGCAGAACATTAGGCACTACATTTCAGAATAGATTACTGAATTTCTGGATCAAACCCATTTGAGTTCTTCAGAGATCTAAGGGGATTATTCAAACAAATATGACTGTATAATAAACACCTTTTTATACAGTAACTGCTCAAGAAGGAATAGATGGTCCCTATGCAGACTAAAATTTAGTTGCTTTAGATAAAGATTTAGTGGAAGGTTAGTGTTAGATCAATTTGATATAGTTCTTCATTGACAAAAACAGGTAGCCAGAAACACAATATAGCTAACTGACAGGTTATTGTTTTGCAAATAGTATGTATATTCACTGGTTCCAGTTGATGGTGGCTAATATTTAGAGTGGAAAAGAGAAGAGCTACAGCAGCACTAATACGGAAATTTCTTGGTTGATTGTGTCCAGTGTGTGAAGTGAAACACAGATGAAGTGAAACACAGATGCATAACCTTCATGTTGACACTATTCCTATGCTAGACTGTCAGGTACAATCAACAGATTACCAACTCTAGAGAAAGTTTCAGAGGCATCTCTTATGATAAAAGAGACATGTTTTATGATAAAAAAGTAACTTATTTGGAAGCTAAACGAAGTAGAAGAGTTGTTTGTAAATCTACTTATCTGTCCATAAATTTGTGCTGAATGCTGAAGAAAGAGGCAATCTTACAGCTTATGCTTGTTTTTCCTGCTTCTTCCATCTAGTTTATATTGTGGGAACGGTCAAGAGAGTAAGGAAGTATGGTAAAACATTATCCAGAGCACTGTAATCTCTGCATTTTGGCCAGGAATAAAGCTGTTAAGCCACTAGTGCTGTTGAGGTTAATGGCAGGACCTGCACTGGTGCCCCAAACTTTCCAAAATATAAGAGGGTGTACTGATGGGTGATACTGCCTGTTACCTTTTTCTGCTTGTAAGGAGGTGTTGCACTGCCCAGTGTTCATCTCAGTCAGTTCCAAGTAACATCAGTTTTCTACACTGTAGGCTTCTTCTGAGTGCTCTAAGGCCTGATTTTTAGAAATGCTGAATACCTGCAATGCTGTTTAAAGTTAATGGGAGCACAGGCTTCTCAGCAAAATTGAAAATCAGGCCTTAGAACTCAAACAAGAGGTTTTAGTTTAACAGTCACAAGACTGCTTAAATGATAGTCTGAATTCTACATACTTTATGGAACTGATTTTTTTTTTGTTTGTGGGTTTTTTTGCAAAACATATTGCCAATATTTTCTTGATTCCAGGAAAGCTGAGCTATGACCCATTATATCCCTTGATTTTTATTAATTTTGTTAGCATTATGACTCTTTTACTTAATACACAACTAGTAGAACAGCTGGCACATACGAATGAAGAGAATTCAGTTATAATAGATTTAATTCTCTGTGATGCTTTATGGCATTGATCTTTTTTCTATTGGATTGAATGGCAAGGAATTCTGCTGTCATGCTTAAGGGTTAGAATAAAAACTTAAAACAACGTTCCTTTATTGTTTAAATTTCTTTCCATGCATCTGGTGGATTTTTCAATGTACTGAACTATAGTGTCTTGGGCATGTAAGTCAGTCTTTCTTTAAACGTGCTATAGCTCCCCGTTTTGTTGGTGAGCATTACATTCACCCCTTGAAATCAACAATTGTCCATTCTTGTCCCCAGCTGTTTGAGTTTTTTATAGTAACCTAACTTTCAGTTAAAAATTCATTTTCCCTTGGTAAAAGGTATATCCTCATTCATTCTCTGCCTTAATCAGTTTTGCCTGTTCACCCCCTTGTTTTTTGTTCACATTGTTATATTTTCGTTTCAAGCCAAGAGATCTGTCAGGGCTTCTGTAATAAGTATATCCAGTGGAAGATGGAGAGTTACCCACTGAATTCATACAGTGACTTCTCATAAAAGATATTTTGGGTTCAGGCTCTTCAGTTTTACAACAAATATACTTCTTTGGCATGACTCTGGATTCTGTGGGGAATTCTGGTTCTCTGTGACTCACTTTGAGTTAAAACAGCAAGGGACTGTTGTGTGAAAAGGGACTTTGCTGTGTGAAACCAGTAGTTTAACGCCTGATCTTCAACCCACAGACCAGCACTTTCAGTATTCATGGCAGAAGAGAAAAGAATCACTAACAGGTTTATAATCCCTATTACTTCATACTGGTAGGAGTTACTCCTTTGGAACTTACATTTAGGTTTTCATTGAGCAGCAGATTGAAAACAGTTCAGTAACAGCAGTAATACTAGCATTCATTGTAGCAAGATGCCTTACCCAATTAGGAAAGCCTTCACTCTTTCCTCCTTAAAGCAACCTTCTTATTTTAGAATGCTGTAGAACCACTGCATTATTAATTATATTATACCAATTTAACTTCACTTAAAGCTTTACTAAAACTGTGGAAGCTGAATTATACTAATGTAGCCATGTAAACACAGCAGAATTAGGAGTCAAGTGTGAGCAGCTAGTCACAGAATTGAAAATATCTATCCCTGCTGGTTTGGGGGGGGTGGGGTGTGTTTCTGGTTGGGTTTTTTGTGTGTGTGTGTGTGTGGGGGGGGGGTTTGTTTTTTTTTGTTTGTTTTTTTTTTTTTGCTTGTTTTGTTTTTGTATCTGAGGAATTTGTACACTGAATTTGGTACAGCTCTGTCTATATGACAATGGCCAGGCAGGGGTTGTCATTTCTAATTCTCTAGGCAATTAGACCCATTTTATCCTCAGGTCTGATATTTCTAAATTGTGAGTAATTAGCTTGCTGGCTGAGAGACCTGAGAAAACAAGGGAAAAAATTGTTAAATTGTTTCTTACATCAGATCAAATGCCAGTGTTCTCCACATTATCTGTTGTCAGGTGCTTGCACATCTCTCTCCCTTGGCTAGTTACACTATGTGAACACAACATTACAGGATGGTCGGATTTGACAAGCATGATTAAAAGGTCATGTCTGAACTATAGCAAAAATCCAGTAGGCCTTCGATAATAGACATGAGGAATTTTTTATAGGTCAGTTAAAATATGTATTTTTATCTCATTGTCACAGACGGAATGAACAAGAGAGAGCCCATTAAATCCAGACAGCTGCAGAATGGCCATCAGGTGGCTCTGCATCTCAACTGAGGTTTAATTCAGACATATTTTCATACCCCAGCCTCTTAGTTCCGATTATCTGTATCAGAAGGATTCAGTATTTCTGCTGCAGGACTAGCTATTTTTTTTTTAATATTCATGAAATTGTACTTAGAGCATTATTTCTATACCTTACCCATAATAAGTAACAGGCAATTTATTTTTAATGCTCTATTGATAGAGCTTAATATATAAAAGAGATTGCACAGACGTGGTGGTTTTATCTACAGTGTTACTGGCCCAGAAGAAACTCCTGAGTTTTAAGCCTGGTTAAAGCTTTCCTGGCAATCACAAACCCCTAATTGTACATAAAATCTTGTGGCAAAAATTCTGCCACCTGCTGGCCAAGAAAAAAAAGTACTTGTTAAGCAGCGCGGTGCCTTGGATGCAGCGTTGCAGCGCTGTTCCCCCAATAGGAGAAACTGGTCTTCATGCAGAGTGCTTCAGCAGCAGATATGATTAGTCATAGATCCAGGAGTTACTTGTTTTCAGAAAGAAAATATGTACAGCAGTTCTGATCATATATCACCAGTCATGATGGATAATTATCTATCTATCTATCTATCTATCTATTATATCATATGCCTATATGGCAGCAAATTACACTGCGTAAAAAAAGAAAAGTTTAGATGCACATAAGTAGGCTGAATTTATACTCACAGGGACAGTTCCTGATTTTGGATTTCATGACTTTTAAATATATCATTTTAGTGTAGTTTTTAATGCAGTTATTAAAAAATGAAGAAAAAGAAACTGCACATGCAAAACTGTAGTTATCCCAGTTCCTGTATTTTTTATTTTATTTTTTTTTTTTTGCTCCTTGCCTGTGGAGCAAAACTTTCATCCACTTCTCTATCCCATTCACTCTGTTTCCATTTTTGCCACTAAGCTGCTGGTTTCTTTTGTTCTTTTCACACCATCCATATTGCTCTGTCTTTTCCACTTTCGTGTCTTCTGACCTTTCCTGTAGTTATTTTCTATTTCAAGATCCCACTGGATCTTTTGTGCCAAAACCTCCTGATCCTGTTGGTCCCTCTCTTTTGCATCCTCTAAGTGGTCTTCATCTGTCTAATTCTTCCTAACCAGTGAGGTGATGGCAATAGACGCATAGTACACAAAAGAAGGACACATTCCCAGCTGTTGAGTATATAGTGTTGATGCCACAGCAATCCCGGCAGTTGGAATGAACAATATCAGAAAATATATTTTCTGTCTCTGTGGAATTTTTGGAGGATACTTACACTGTGCTCTCAAGGAATGTGGTCTTTTGCAACAAAATCAGTGAAGTGTTACCATTTGTAGTGCCTTATGGTTTCAATAACCTTTTACAGGACGAAATAGTAGTTCAAACTGGTGAAGTGATCTAGCGTTAAAGTATTTATTTATTGCTGAGGTTGTTTTGTTTGTTTTTTGGTTTGGTTTTTTTTTTAGTTGGTTTTGGTTTTTTTTTGGGGGGGGGGGGGCTGGAGAGGGAGTGTCAGTTGTATAAATCATTGGCTCCATAAAGAGAAAACATATTTTAAGTGGCCAGAAATACTTGGTGATTTTTAGGTAATATATCACACCAAAAACTCAACCTTTGGAAGATATCCAGAGTAGAAAATACAATCCATTCTCTAAATTATGCATTACCTATAGAAGAAGGCAGACAAATTGTAGGCAACTAAAGTGTTTGCATTTTTTTCATCTGTCATATTTGTTCACCTCTGCCACATGAAAAATCTGTCAATCACAGTGCCTCTGAGGTGTAGTTAGCATAATGTTCATAGGGAATAAAAGAGCTGCACTATTCAGGATTCTCCCAGTTGTTCCTGGTTATATCATTCAACAGAACAACTGCTAGTGATAGAATGGTGATAATACTAACCTATCGGAAGAAACTGACAGGTAAAACAAGTTCACTTGTTTTATTTTGCTCTTTAAAAGCTCCTTCCAGGAAACTAGAGAAATACTATTTCAGATATCTAAGAAAAGCATCCTTGGCTTGCTTTTGTCTTATCCATATTTGATCAAGAGTCTTCATGTAATCTGCAAAATACTTTGTGACACTTTCAAACATGATACAGTGAGATTTGATGCAGTGATCCACTTTGTACTTACAGCAATTTGAGGCAGTTACAATTTTAACTTCTGCAGCCAAAGGCTATTGAATTGCCTGGTGCCTTTATTAGACAGATTCTGAAGCGTCAGTGCCATTGCCTGGTTGACATCTTTCCAAATATATGAAAATACAGAGTATTGCCTTATGATCCTAGGTCCCCAGAACTGGTGGTGACCTACTTGGGTATCTTAGCTAACAGAATAGGAGCTTTTGCCTCTTCACATTTTAAATATTTTGAAAGGCTATTTTTTTTTTCTTTTCCTATATAGAATTTCTGGAAGGGCTACTACAGTGTTTGAATCATAGTAAAGCATCTGAGAGATCAAGGTCTTTCATTTCATTTTGGGAAGGTGTTGGGTTTTCTGTCACTGGATTGCTGTTTTCTACTGCAGAAGGCAAGAGATCCTCATTTGTGAATTCTCTGGGAAAGCCAGAAGGAGCTGGAATGTCCATAATTTCTTTCCATGGTTTTCCAGGGCATCTGGGGAGAGGAGATTCTGGGCGATCTCACAACCCATTAAATAGAGAAGTATCAGGAAGAATTAGTGGTTCTGCAGGTGTACTGGTTTCCTTTCTTGCAACCCCTGGGTTACCTATTTCTGATGCTGTTTCAGCACTGGGTGATGGGAGGGTTTTGTTTTGGTTAAAACCACTTTCACTAGACTCCTCAGAAGATTTGGGGTTTAGATGTTTATGTTTCCCGTTTTCACTGTGTTTTTTATGCCCACACCCATGACCAGTTCTGTGCCTACAACCACTTTGATGTTTATACCTTCTGTCAGACTCATGATCCTTTTTATGCCCATGTTTATGCCCATGTTCATGCCCGTGTTCATGCCCGTGTTCATGCCCGTGTTCATGCCCGTGTTTATGCCCGTGTTTATGCCCGTGTTCATGCCCATGTTTATGCCCGTGTTCATGCCCGTGTTCATGCCCGTGTTTATGCCCGTGTTTATGCCCGTGTTCATGCCCGTGTTCATGCCCGTGTTCATGCCCGTGTTTATGCTCAGGTTCACCTTCACCTTCTGGTTCCTGTCCACTATCTTCTCTTGTTTCTTTATCAGGTCTTTGCTCATCTTCTCTAGTTTCTTTATCAGGTCTTTGCTTTTCTTCTTCCTTTTTATTGGAGCATGGCATTTCATTTGGCTGATTTAGCATAACAAGACTTCGAAAAGGTGTGAATCCAGGAGGCCTTCTTAGAAGTACAGCCTAAAAAACATTGCAATAATAGCCATATTTCTTACATAAACAAGAATGATCATTTCAGATTCAAGAGATTCAGAAGTTGGGTCATTGCAGTATATGAATAATTTAGCAGAAATATGCTATCATATTTTTAAAGTAAGCTAAATAATTATCTTTTCTGTCTGTGATAAGTGTGGAAACATAAACATCCTCCTGAATAACTCCAGAGTAATTTAGCACTTACGTGTTAAAAGAAAAACTTAAGTATCGCTGAAATATTGCCAATTTAACATGGGAATGGTACTATAGAGAGGAGAATGTGTACTGTTTTTAATTTATGAACAATATAGCTGATTTCTAAGATTAAATGTCCCTGCACTTGTTAGAATATAACACTCTGATGTATAAAAGCAGTTTGTGCTAAAGACAAACACATATCTGAGTACCCAATACCAGAATGCACAAAAGATCTGGGTTGTTTTGTTATATGAAATGTAACTATTCAATTTTTTGTTTCTAGATTTGACATATGCATCTCATAAGAATGCCTAGAAATAATACATATAGGCTAAAGTTGATAATATGAAATATTATGAAATATTTATTTGTTATTGAGTAATCTCTATTTCCTACCTCTGTTAAACTAGAAGACAGAGACTGAATGCATGATGTGCAGTCACTGTCCTATATGGGTTTCATATCTCTCCACCATTTGCAGTCTCTAGCTGCAAATCCCAGTTGTTTGGGGTGGAGCTAAACTTGAAAGTTGATAAGGATATTGTAGTGAAAACAAAGCAGAGAGACATTTATCATTGATACATAATGCAACAATAGGTAGTTATGAAGATGCTGAGCACAGCGAAGCTACTGATTATGAATGCAAGTTAATCAATCTGACTTCATTCAGAGTATCTTCTTCATTGGGGAGTATGGGAGTCCCTGCATTTATAAAAAAAAACTGCAATCACTGGAACTACAAAAGTTCTGATAATAAAAGAGATTTATATTTCATTCTGAAATTTTCAAAGTGACCAATGTTCAGGCTAGTTAATTGTGGAGCTGGGCACAAAGGAAACTGAAAGATCTTCTTGCAGAAATTGACAACCCATGGTGGGAGATGCACTACTCATATGAAAAGATTTGCAGATGCTTTTGAAATCTGTGGGGAATAATCACTGCATTGTCAAATACATTTTTGTCTCAATTTTTAAGCCTTGTATGAATTGTAATTCAAAGGAGCTGCTGGGGCTTGATATTTCAGAGCTTAACTGGATAATGCAAACGAGTAGTTGGCAAGCAGAATGTTCTCTCTGTCCTGTTGCCTTTTTATTTCTGTAGTCACTGGGTTATCCCGTGTCTCACCTTGTCATGAGATTGACTCCAGTGTAACAAGTTGCTGAGGTTAGAGGCTGAGAGGGAAGAGTGTGGCATTACTGAAGTTGTTAAAAGAACAATGTGTTCCTTTATGTTTGGTACAAAGTATGGGTTAATTTGGAATGGATAAAGAATTTAATTACTGCCTTGGTTCTATGCTGTACTTATATATACGATGATGGGTAATGAAAAGGAATCATACCTTTGAACGTTCTTTCAAGCAGTTAACCTGGGGAAAGATTTTATTCTCCCATGGGATCACATGAATTTGTGCTTCACATAACAATGGTACCTGTTGACAAAACAAAACCCAACACATTAAGGCATCAAACACAAAGGAAGAGTTGTGCCAAAAAAAAACAACCCCAAACCAACAAATACAAACATTATTTTTAAATAATACTTTTAAATACAAATATACTTATAACTTTACCCAAATATCTACAAAATGCATCCTAGTAATGGAGACTTCTTTACTGGGACACATCTGCTTAGCTTTTTGAGATTACAAAATACCTGTGTGAACATTTAATTTTAACTTAATTTGAAGATTGGATCTTGAAAAATTGGATATTTCATCTCCAGCACTTTTGGAGCACTAACTGTGTAATCTGCATGATATTCTTAAGAAATATCGTTTGTTGGTGATGTTTCTCTCTCTAAAAAATTGGGAAATTGAAGTAGAACAGCATTTTTTCCTATTCAGAGCCTGCTTCAGTAATGGATTTTAAATTCTCACAGGTAAATACTGCTCATTTAATGGGAAAAGAGAGGGAAAATGAAACCTCTTTTTCCCAGCCAAATCCCTTGCCAGTGGTTTCTGGCCCTATCAACAATACTCTCCAGTGTCTGGAAAACATTTTTCTGGCATCAGCAGCATGCATTCCAGAAACATCATTCCTTTGCACACCAGTAACATTCCGTTTTCATGTTTTCGTTAGCTGCAAGTCATAGAATCATAGAATGGTTAGGGTTGAAGGGGACCTTAAAGCTCATCTAATTTCAATCCCCCTGCCATGGGCAGGGACACCTTTCACTAGAGCGAGTTGCTCAAAGCCACATCCAACCTGGCCTTGAACACTGTCAGGAATGGGGCAGCCACAGCTTCTCTGGGCAACCTGTACTAGTGACTCACCAGCCTCATAGTGAAGACTTTTTTTACTGATATCTAATCCAAATCTCCCCTCTTTCAGTTTAAACCATTTGTGCTGTCACTACATGCCCTTGTAAAAAGTCCCTTTCCACCTTATTTGTAGGTCCCCTTTAGGTGCTAGAAGACTGTTACAAGGTCTTCCCAACTTTTTCAGCCTGTCTCCATAGGAGAGCTGCTGCAGCCCCCAGATCATCTTTGTGGCCCTCTGTAGATTTGCACCAGCAGGTTCACATCCTTTTTTATGCTGGGGCTTCCAGAGCTGGACACAGTACTTTAGGTGGGGTCTCATGAGAGTGGAGTAGAGGGGGAGAATCACCTTCCTCAAACTGCTGGCCACACTCCTTTTAATACAGCCCAGCAGATGGTTGGCTTTCTGGGCTGCGAGTGCACGCTGCTGGCTCATGTTGAGCTTCGCATCAACAGATATCCCCAAGTCTTCTCCTCAGCGCTGCTCTCAAGTCCACGAAATCAGGGGTATTGTAACTCTTTCCTTTCACAGCAGCCTCTTTCCTCCCTTTCCTTGGCTCGTTATCATCAGAAGAAAATTCCTTTTGCTTTGCCATAAGCATTGATCCTGCAGTTGGAGTGACTCAGTGTCACTCAGTTTCAGCTTCATTTTTTATTAACATTGGCACTGCCTGGGGTTACAAACAGTGAAACATGTCCTGCTTGCTGAAACAAAAGTTCACTGAAAGAGTTAAGAAAACTTGGGATGTGATTTTACGTAAGTGTTTACAAGTTCTAATGCAAATGAATTTGTCCATGAAGACTATTACAGTTGGCAACATCATCATTACTTACACTGTCTGACATGGCTTCACAGTCTTCACTAATTTTTTCAAAGTCTGTCTTTGAACACTTTGTCTTCCAGACTGCAAATCTTACATGGTATTTTTGTCCTGCAACCTCCTGGAAAATTTGCAAGAAGACTTTCTGTGGTAAAGGCATTTTATTGAAAAGGGTTCACAAAAAATTTTTCTACGAGCTTATACTCCTTACATTCTACAAGTCCTGACCACTGGGACAACATATGTTAAGAACAATATAAAAATATTTGGAGGCAAACCTATCTGCTTCTAATCAACTTATTTTTCTCCAATTCCCATTCTCAAAAATTCCAGTATTGAAATTGAAGGAAACAGGTCACAATAATATCAGCCCCACGGATTTGGTTTTGTTGTAGTTGATGCCCATAGCAATTTCATCAGTAACAAATGAAGTCATTAGAGATACTTCTGTAGAGACCCAGATATGATGGAAGAAAAGTGGAATGTGTGTAAAATGAAGAATGTGATAACAGGCTCAGTTGAAAATGAATGTATTTGCCAAATGCATTAAGGAGAGAAACTGCATAGGTTCAAGAATGTGCCTGGTACAAGTTCTCCTATTATTTTTTTACAGAGCCCAAGATAACATATCTTGTGTCAGAGATAGAAGGCAAGACATGAAATTCTGTCTCTTTTAAGTGTGTTTTTAAAGTATATGCATGGCAATATCAAACATGATATGAAAAGTGAGAAAGAAGAATAAGACCTGAATGAAGGAAAAAGGTTTTAAAAAAAGAAAAAGAACTGGTATTATTAGTAAGATAAAGTGAGCTTTGAGAAAAACTCTGGTGTGCTTTTCCTGCCTTCTCCACTGGTACCATCATACTCAGAACTTGTTACCAAAGTATTTTCTGAATCACTCCGCTGTCTTATTTCCAATTCTGTCCTAAACCTCTGTTTTGATACATTGGGACTGTAAACAAGGCAAGAACTGACCAATATTATCTTCCTAATTCCTTGTTCTTCTTTACCCAGCTGTATTTATCTGTACATCTTAAGTTATGCACAGATACACTGAATCTAGCTGGAGTATTATTATTAGCAGAATCAGTATATAAATGAGCATATTTCTCAGAGAAATTTTGAAGCCCCATTTCTTGGAGCTTAGAATAGGGTTGACAGTGTCTAAAATAACATAGAGAGTACTGGTGTGGTGAAACCACATGAGTGGTTTCATCTAATCATTCTTTTTTTTACTTTAGAAGTCTAAGGTATCTTAAAAAAGGCTGGTTAAAAGTGGGGTAGATATACATAAATCAGATAGTCTGAATCAACCTTCTCTCCATGCTTTTAAAATAGTGTTCTTAAAAAAAAAATAAATTAAAAAATCAAGACATAGGAGGTTTTTAACTCAGTTCTGAATTCAAGCCAAGGTGGATAAAACTTAGTAAGCAAAATTGCATGGATATTTCAGTTACCACATTTTACCAACACTTAGAGGAAAACATTATTTGAAATAGAAATACAAACTTTAGCTAACATTCAGCTCAGACCAATAACACTGCCTTGTCTTTTCCTCATCTATGTGGTATATCCCAACCTGAACTGTCGCTGCTTCTATTTCTCCACTTTTGTAGTAGAAATCGTCATTGCTTTCTGAATTATACTTCTCCATGGAAACCTTCAGTAGTTCCCTCAGTTCTGGGTTGTCTTTTGCAACAGTCTTTGGGCAACCAGTTTGAGTGGCAGCAATTACTGTCTCTTCAACTGAAAGAAAGCAACAGATTTCAGATATAAGGAACAAAAAAAATTCAATGTAGGTAATGGCTGGAAAAAAAGTTACAAACCTCTGCCTTCTGGAACACTTCATATTTGGCTCTATCAAATGAAACCAAAATATACTTGAGTTTTATAGGATCAGCATGATCAGGTCTTGGTTATCTAAAAGAGTACTGCATCAGCACCTGGTGTCACATTGGATGCTTAACAGTTTACTCACAGAAACAAGAATGGTGTGTACCAGTTCTGGGTAGCTAGGAAATGAGAGGGAACACCTATGCATATGGAAAGACCTGACTCAACTGAAACGAGACATGTAAGTTATTGCAATGAATGAGTGTGTGGAAGAATGCCATTATCATCTCTTGAAAACAAGTTTGAATGGGTGAGAATGCATCACTTACTACATGGGGTAGTACTGTATACCCTGTTGTAAAGCTCTGAAGCTGTGATAACCTGTGTCGAAATTGATGGTTGGAGGAAAAAGTAGCAATAAGAAGACCATTTGGGAGTTTGACTGCAATGAACTTACAAATTCTAAGAAATCTATTTACTGGGGAAAAAAGAAAGCCTTTAACATAACAAATGCAAATATAGCTATGCAATAGAAAATGAGCAATGGTAGCATCACTAGATGAATTACCAATTTTGAACAAAATCTTAAAAGTCCACAGCTCCTTTCGCTTTCAAAAGAATACATTGGCATTCTTTGGAATGTTAGAAGAAGCTACTATTTAAACAATATGATATGAACTTCCTTGTCATTGTGGTGGAAAAGGAATTAATTCTTGTAGAACAGTTACTGAGTTTGTTAATCTCCAAGTGAGAGTCAGCAACCACTTCCATGTAATAGAAATAGGGCAGTATGCAAAGGATAAAATGTAACTTTTATCTATATAACAAATAGTTGTAGGAAGTGAAAAGTCTGTGGTCATTTTTCATTAAGAGGCAGTGCTTTTCTATTCCCAGAAGAATTACTTTTTTGTTATTATCTGTTTTCATCTCTTGTGTTTTTATTTTGTCTTTCTTTTTACAATTGTAAAAAACCATTGAAAAGTGCAGAACTTGGCAAATTGATAGTGGCTGTGACATACCTGGAAGCTTGCACTGGCTTGCAATATCCACAATCACGTTCTGAAGACTTTGATATGCTTTGGCATCACATTTGCCTACACGCTAGAATAAAAAACACAAAACGGCTTGTTACTTAGAAACAACGAACAAGCTCATGTTTTAAGTCAGCATACTGCTAAGTCAAAAGTATGCTATTAATAATTCCTTCCTTCCTTCAATATACTGGGAAGAAGAAGCCTGACAGGCAGTCTGCAGAGCCAACAAATGATTTGGATTCAAAAGGACCACTCAAAGAAAATAAAACCATAAAAGGGAAGCTAAATGGACTATTTGTATGTGTTAATTACAGAAAGAGACAGGAAGGTTTAGAAGCCAGAATCCTGTTTAATGGAGAACTCACTGGCATTTTTGTCTCAAACTGTGAAGACAAAAAAGATTATGAAATTAACAGATCAAACATTATTAAGTTTCTTGTATTTACTCAGGTGTTCTAAAGAAACCATGGTAGACGGCTTGCTTAAAATTGTCTTGGTATTTTAGAGCTGGAAGAAAGCAGATACCTATCCAGTTCTGTTTTAAAAAGGTTTTAAACCCATAGAACTGATGTCTGTACCATTCCAGTGATTAGAAATAGTTATAAGGAAAGAATTAGGGGGCATGAATACATCAAGGAGAGACCCAGGTTTCTGGAGTAAACAGAAGTCATATTTTGCAGATTTATCAAAGTTCTCAAAAGCATCAAGAAAAGTGGGTAAAGAGACCTGTTGATAAAGTATATGTAGATTTTAAAAAAGGTTTCAGTGAAGTCTCTTATCAAAGACTCTAGAAGAAACTAATCAATTGTAGAATAAAATCTTAGGGCTCTGACAGATACTGTTTTCAAAGCATCCATAAAAAAATCTGCTTAGTTGTTGGTTTAGAAAAAAATAATATCAAGGCTTATTTCCAGGTTAAAGAGAATGATATTATGCTCCACTGAAGTAGTTCTGTGGTTTACATGTATGCCAGATACAGGGTTCTCCCTCTATCTTCCCATTTCAAAATGAACAGTACAGAGCTAAATAAAAGCATGAAACAACTTCCATGGAATTTGGTCATTCCAATGCATGGAATATTCTTGGAATATATATTCTAATAATATCTGCTGATGATCTATTAACAAGGCTTAGCAGTTCAGGGGATAAGCGATAAAAATCTAATCCCACTAACCCTGTGTGATCAAAGCACTATGTGAATGAGGTAGTACTCCTGCATTAGGTGAGGCGACAGAAGTCATTACCTCTAGGTGACAGGCTGGAAAATTCCGGCTCAAGCAGATTAAGTAGCTTGCTTAAGGTTTAAGGGCAGGTGTGGATAATGAAAAGATTTGCTTCACCTAGTTTGATTCTAACTCTTCTATTATTTACCAGTGTTGTAATTATTTCCTTTTTTGATCAATGCCTCTGAAACATGCCAGAGCATTCTTGAGACATCCAAGGAGTAAGTTTTGAGCGAGAGAGGCTCTTGAGTGTAACGCTTAACAGTGCACTTCCACAACAGCTGAAGCAGATGTGAGTTGGGACTCCTGTGGTTCCTCCCCTCCCATTTACCACCACTGTTCATTACTATTTGTGTTCCTGTCCTGTACCTTGTATTTTCAGAAGCACTTTTCTTCATTCATTGAGAGACAGTTAATTCTGTTCCAGATCAGAGGAAATACCTGGTTTTGCAATACTGTTTAGCTAGTGTATGTATGTTTGTTAATAAATGTCTTTTGAAGCTCTCTTATTTGGACTATGGTAGGGGTAAAGTGCTACTTACTTTTCTTTGAAAATATGTCTTAAGCTGGAAAAATAACGCTTATGTTAATTATCGGGTTTGGGGTTGTACCTGAGTAACTCCTTGAATATCTGGGTAAGAGCTTCTCAAGGGATTTACTATCTGGGTGAGACTCTTTAGATTCTGTAATCTGTAAGCATTTCAGTGGTCATCTTAGTAACCAATTCAGGAGAAGACAGATGTTTTAGTTGCATAAATAGACAACTCTCTAGAAGCCTGGATTTAAACTTCATTCACAAAGTAAAGCAAAACTAAAAATATTTTCTTGAGCTAGATATTAAAGATTATTTGTTAATATGATATTTTCTCAATTAATGAATTTTGAAGATTACTTACACCTCTGGAAGTGGTTTTGCACTCTGGAGTTAAATCTTGAAATTGGTCTTTGGAGCAATTAGTCTCCTCAATTTCATATTTAATTGCATAATTCCATCCAGCTACCACCTAGAACAGATATTTTGGAGATACATCATGTAAACCAATACAAACTTGGAACTTAAACTATTAAAAGTGATTAGCAAAAAAAGCAAAACAACTTTTCTCATGCCTTCCATCCATCAAATCACCTTGCAGTCATTGAGCCATAGAGTATTCATGGAGAGAAAAAAACCCTCCAAACTTGTTCTTGTGATACAAAAGTTAAACTAAGTCATGCATATACTAGAAGCACACTTTGTATTCAGATTCCACTTCTCCTGGCAATCCTGCAGCCTCATAACGATTGGTTTCTTGTGCTTTCCTCCAAAGTATGTGTAATTTATTACTCCCAGTGACAGGAAGCTGGTCTAGATGGATGACTATACTAATACAGCTTGTCAAGTCCTATGTTCCTGAGCATGGGACATAGTAAAGAAGTATCTGAATAATGTAGCTTTACACTGCTGACATCATTTGTTATTGACCGTCCTGCATTTATCATCTACCTATAATTCTGTCTGCCTTCCCCTGCCCACTGTTTTGTCCAGATTTGTAACCCTTTTTTTTCATTTTCTCTCCTGGAAGTAATTCAGTTTTCCTCACTATGGCTACTGCTGCTCACCCATGAAATCTCTCCATGTCACAGTGTTGGGCTAGAAAGGGGAAATAAGAATCAAATATAGGAACTTTCCATTCCAGCTCAATTAAAGTGGAGGGCTCTGACTACTCTCTGTTGGCCAGAAGTGACATGGTGGTTCTTTTTCCAGCTGCTGGATTTTAGTCTGTCTGTGACATTTTGTCATGTGGCTTAAATGTTGTGCAATCTTGTCCTTCAGCTAAGAGGATCATTGCCATCAGTAAATAGTGAGAGGACAGTCTGAATTAAATCATGGGTCAAATTGATATGAGATTAGAAATGCTTTTTGGCTAAGTAAATACATATACATACAAAGAAAAGGATCTATATTTGGTGTTAGGTTATATACTGGTTAAAAAAAACAAATAAAAACTCTACTTTCTAACAACAATCACACTATCCAAGGGAAAGCCTTTCACAGGGAAATAATTGTTGCTTGGAATACCAGATGACACAGAATTTCTGCAACTTGAGAAGTCATTTCTTGTAAAACAGATATTCCTGTGTGCAGAAATCTTTCAGCAAGTGGCATGTTGGCATTTTGTTTTTCTTACCAATTTTTTCTGTATGGGGTTTACTTGCCCTATGGTGTATAGCAGCTGCTGCATATGAGCCCTAATGCATTGCAAAAACGTAGATGCCTGCTGCTGTTTGAGAGGCTGAAGGGTATATGAGGCATCTGTGCTGGCTAACAGTTTTGTCACAGCACCTAGGATAGATCTGCTCCTGCTGGAGCTTCAGAGTGAGGCCAAGTAGACTACCCGAGAGTCTTGAAGATGACACAAGGTGTCTGTGTCAGCAGTGAATGCAAATAAACTGGGGCTGAACACTAGTTAGATGGAACTGCAGATAAAGTATGTTTGCCATCAGTTTGTAAAGTTGAAAGCTCTGAAAATCCAGTAGGTAACAATTTATGATTTCTTATAAATAAAGAGGATTATTTACAGGGTCTACACTATATGTATTTTGTATACTTTTATTGTGAATTATAAGCTAACTTAAAAATCAGAAACACGTACATAAAACAATCAGGGTCTGGAGTTTTGTGGGGTTTTTTTTGGTAAAATTTAGAGAAAAATCATGCACAAACCTGTCTTGTAGCTTCCTTTATTTCCACAAGCTTAAAAAGGAAATGTTCACCACTGTGGTTGTTAAACTTCTGAATGGCTTGTTTCAGAATTTCCAGCACTACTGAACTGTCAGTTGATATAGGATGAAAGCATCCAAGACATGTAGCCTGAGTAAGTGTTATCTTTGGCATAGCTGCAAAACAAAACAAAACAAAAAAGGACTTCATGTAAAACAGACCCAGGTTTTAATTTTTCTTATGTGGGAATGAGAGAAAAGGCTCAATGAGCTAGAACTTTTCCTGCATTTAATTGGGCCGAGCAAAACCCACATTTCAGTTTCAGGGCCTGTAAAGGCATTCACTGCATCATGTTTTAGTTTGTGTTGGTGGGGTGCATCCATGACATTTGGATCCAGGCATGGTTTCAGCAGTAAACTTCATTCAGAGGGGTGGGTGACTTCAGGAGTCATTGCATCTCTGACCCTGACACCATCCAGGAAGAGTCATCACTCATTCAGTCAGGCTAGAGCCACTGGAGGCTACAACTTAGATGTTCTTTCAGATTTTTCAAAGCTCAACCACTGTGGGCAGCTGCTTACTGTCCTCACCATGTTTCAAGGTGGGGACTTTGGCAGGTGTGTTTTGGCTCACCCATGTGAACTGCTCTGACTTTGAGCTTCTTCAGGACTAATTGAACTATTTTGCTGCTGTGCTGTTTGAAACCCCTGCTAGTCACTGGCTGCCAATTACCACTTGGTGTTACCTTCAGGATTAACCAGCTGGATTGTCTGTGTATAGACAAGCTTGATGGGGATGCTCAAACTTCTGTTTCCTACTCCTAATCCTATTAATTCTCTTTCCTTTCTAGTAATCATGGGTTGGATTTTCATAAATTAATTTTATAGTTCAGTACATAAATTAATTTCATGATTCAGTGAGCTTGAGAATGAAAGTGGGACAATATGTGGTCTCTATGGAATTGAAGTAAAATTTGTGTGCCTTACCCTCAGCTGGCTTAAACTGGTTTTAATGGAGGTAAGCCAGCTTCCACCAGCCAGAAACCAGTCCAGAGTCAGTATGAATAAACTGTTCTACAAAGAAGGCTTCTATCTGACATGGTGGGGAAACCCCTCACCAGTAGGATCTATTGTTTTACTCTTTCTGTTTTAATCCATCAGATCTGATTTGTCTCTTCTGTACGTTGTGAATATCTCAGTGTAAGCAATACTATTTAGTCTTAGCTCTCCAAGGGGTACTTGAGAGAAGTCCTGCCCTTCGTATTTTTACCATCACTTTTCTTGACTGACAAATATATGCATGTCACAGAAAAATGTGACCATGTTTCCAAGGAGTAATCACAAAGTAGATAATAAAACATAAAGTGGCCATGGTACCAACATTTTCATAAGTGCTGAACAAACGTGTATTCTTTTTTTTCAGAATTGCTATGACTTGCTAAAAGGAGATGAGCTTCTTAGCCTGAATAGATAATTCATTTATGCATGTTTTATTGGTTTTCTCAGCAAAGATTCAAATGCAGATTTTGTTCCCGTGCATTCTCTGTGGGATTCACACACCTTCTACTGGCAACTAGATGTCACCATTGCCCCACAAATGCATCTAACCCAAGTGATACTCTCTAGCAGAACATGGATTTTGTGTGTACTGCAGTTCCTAGAATGGCACTGGCTGTAGGTATAGACATTTAGCTTTAAATAAGGTAATTAGGAACAAAAAACTGCAAGGTCCCAGCTACCGGTTAGTTTAAAACTGGCTTGGATATGTCTTGCATGAACACGGGGCATAAGCACATAGGGATCTCAGTTGTAAAGCTTTAAAGCAGTGGTCTCTTTGTAATACAGAAAATTACTATGTGAACATAGTCATATATGAATGTCTTGCAGGCAAGAAATGTAGTACTGCTTATTGCTAAGGTCTAAAAGATATCAGAGTTTCTTATACATAATTACATCATTGCTAGATTTTTATTTTGTAAATTAATTTTTTCTTTTTTTTTTTTTAATGAGGGTAAATGTTCTTTTAGTGTGCAAGCAGAAATAATTAGTATTTTTTAGTCTGGAGGAAATGAAGATACAATTTTGTCATATAGTTTTTTTCCTAATAATTTCTGGTGCAATTTTATACCTGAATAAATAAACGATATATAAATATTGTTTATTTAAATATATAAATAAATAAATAAAGAAGCGGTCTCTAGTCTCTAAGTTACTGATATGTTTTGATTTTAAGCAAATTCATTGTAACTTGGTATAATTCCAGTGTTTGAAGAAACTTGCTACACCTGCACGTGTTGGTTTTCATTACCTTGGACAGACACTGACAGTGCTTCACTGACTTAGTCTGTGTGTGCATAATTGTGAAGTGAAATTTTGTCTTTAACATGTAGTTGCTTAAGGATGATTATTTATAAATGTCTGAATAGAACAATAAGGAGCTCCTATCTTTAAAATTACCTGAAAGTTGCAATATTATATTTTTCCCATTCTTATTTGTCAATGTACTTGTTGAATGCTGCCCCAAACAGTTCCATACCTGGAAATATTCTGCAGTCTTGTGAAACATTACTTGTTTTTTCAGCATTATTCATGTGAACCCGAGCTGTGCATTCTCCTGTTTTCTGCAAAAATATATGATAACATTTGTCTTAAACTTGCTGAAGAAAAAGGCAATATTATATATTCCTGTAGCTGTTGAACAAAGTTGACAGTTGCAAATTGAGTTTGGGGAACAAGTTCACATGCACACTTGCAGTAATATCTAATTTGCTAGTTTGTTACCCAAAAAGGAACAGTTTTGTTTGTGAGGAGAGTAGGGGATGAACTGAGCAGATAGTTTGAAAGATTGCTTTGTATCATGATTGATGCATGCTAATTAACTAAAGAATTTGCAGTCAGAATAATGGAACTGAACACATCCTCATAAATGAAGTCTGTATAAATTTTGTATTTACATCATTTCCACACTGCTAGGACAAGATATGCCTCAATGACCATAGCATTTCACATTGATTCATATGGTATCACAACCATGCCGTTTTTTGCATTGTGTAGTGTGGGAAATAACAGTGACTTCCACTGGATATATGCAGTGTTCCTGCCCACTGTGTGTGCCCCAATTGTATTTCTTCTAAGTGCCCTCTAGTAGCATGAGCCAGACATGCTTTATACTGCTAAAAGTCCTCTGCAAATTTTCTGCCATAATGGCTTCCATGTCAGTATTTTTGTTGGTGCAGATCTGAAGTAAATTTGGTTGTGCAAGTTTCTATTATGCATAATTACAGAAAGTTTTATAGCCCTCATACTCTCTGTGTATCTTATGTTGAATTTATGGTGAACCTTCCTATTGGAGCACTGAAATGTTTCCTTCTGTACTTATTCAGGATTATAATGGTAAAGTCATTTTATAATGGTTAACTTTAATATTGTAAACATTTCTGTACTATACTTTAATCCTCTCAAAAGCAACACAGCTAAAAAAACCTAAATTCTCTGCTGTATTTTTCCCCGAAGCAACTGCAGTCCTGATCATTATGCTGATGTTTCTGCACAGAAGACTTTTAAAGAGAACAGATACTTACAGCCTCTGCAGATACTTTGTAATCACAATCTTGCCAGAGTTTGTTTTCCTCAGTGGCGCAAGTGGTTTCTCGTATTCGGTATTTCACATAGAACTGTGCGTCAGGACCTGCCTGGATGAAAATATGCATGTCATTGCTTGTGTAGTGATAGATTAGGTGAAAAGGTAAGAGCTTCAAAAGGTAAATACTATTCATTTTATAGTACGGTCTCAGATTAGCTGCTGGTCTCCATACAAGGTCTCCCAAGTCTTCATAGTTCAGCAATTAACTTATCTAATTATATTAATGAGCCCTTACTTACAAAGGTAGGCAATATGTTGACACAATAGATGCAGTATGATCAGCCACCTTCATTTTAAATTATAGTACCAAGATTTTTAAAACCAGAAATAAGTAGTTATATTCATACTCATATTGAAATGTACTACAAATAAGCAAATTTGGGTTGCTGCTCAAACAGTTAGCATAATTACCAGCTTGGACTGTATTCCTGTCTGACTCCTTCACTCTTACTCTTGGCTTTCTCCCAGATCTGTCTACTTTCCTTCTGTACAATTCTATAGGCAGTCCAGAAACAGCAGCCAGCAATCCTCAGGCAGGCTGGCTGTGCCCAAAGTGCCTTTACACTATAGTAACAGGGTATGTCGGCTGCCTTGCCTACTTGGTGGAAAGGGGTGAGGAGACCATATGCTCTAGAGACAGCCTTTGGCAGTGCCTGCAGTTTTCCTTTAGGTGTAGAAGGTTGTGCTGCTCATGAGGGTAGATTATATAGGTAAATACATTATGATATTTCATCCATAAGACAAAATACAGACAAAGCATTAAGTGAAGTTAGGCCTGGCCTCTGGATTGGTTTCTGATGTAGGTAAATTAGGAGGGGCAGTTTCTCCTTGACATAAACTGAGTAGTGGGACTGTGCCTACAGGTAGCGCTAACATGCTGCAAGGTTTGTGGTTAATCCTTTAGAGGAAATGTAAAGCCAGAAATTACTAGTCTTTCGCAGCCACTAAAGCTGCCCTTCCAATGTGTTTTTTCTAGTACAGCAGCTGCTGGACTTTAACACCAGTTATTCTCAAATTATACTGCTGGAGAATAAATTACAATTCTTGCCTTAGTGGTACCAAGAAAGTGAAGCTGAGCTGATGCAAGTGGAACATACTGGATTTACACTTGTGTAGACACAGAACTAGATTCTCTCTCAGTTTCTGTTGTGTATTGCTACAACTACAGAAGTGTAGAGGTACCTGATACAATGGTTGAAGGTTGTAAAACAGGATGAAAGAGTCTCTAAAAATGTAATGGACTTAATCCTCAGCAGGTATAAATTAACGTTTATATGGAGCTGCATCAGATTATATTATTGGGGATGTGGACTTAAAAAGAGCTGAATTCTGTTTTCTGTTACAGTGTTCTAAGTCTGCAGTAAATCAACTCAGTGAGTAAATGAAAGAAGGGAGAGAAGACATTGTTTCTGTATTTGTTGTTGGTCTATTTCATTATTATAATGAATAGCTATGCCTTTAACTGGGGCAGGTTCAGTCTTTCACCAGTTAGCTTTTATGTTTTATTACCTTATCAATAATGAATGTACATGAATATGTAATACCCAGCTATTTAATTAATGCATTCAACATTGTGAGACTAACGATGAGCAAAGTCTATACTCTTTTTAGAAAAAGAATAACGAATATGAGGAAATCTCTATTGCAGATTCCTTTTTTTAACTTAACATCATAGTCAGATCAATGATTCAAAGTAATAACTGATTTCCATCTCAAATCTTTTAAGGAAAGGAAAGATGGATATCTAGAGAAAGATAATAATTGCAATAAAAGTGTTCTTAAAAACAGAACATTGTTTAAGATAAAATACTGAAACTAATACCTGTCCTTTGGGACTATCAACAAAAGGAAGGTGACATTACAGCTATGATATAATGATATTTGCATTTGGCTGTTGTTAAAGATGTGTGTTGTTCAATGAAGACAGTATGACTATTTGTTTGCTTAATATTAGTTCCATAAAGGGTTTGCCAGATTTTAGTCTTTGTCACTACATGATAAAATCTCCCCAGTTTGAAAACAGGAAAATCTGAGGGTAGGTGCCATGGGATGTAAGTAGTTTACTCTAAAGCATTTAGCAGTTCGTGTCCCCTTTCTGGGTAAAAGTGTCTTGTGATTTTGTAGTGCAAAATATTCTTTCTGACACTGGGTTTCTTATGTTTTACATCTGAAAATCCAATCCAGTAGAAAAAAATGCTAATGATGTTTTCAAGTAAAGTAATGCTTGTCATTATTATGATAATGTCTTCTTTGTATGCCTCTCAGAGGTAAATACTCTTTTGTTAGATTAACACTTGCAGAAGGACTTCAGGCAAGGATCATGTTTCATTCTTTTTTTCTTCTGTAATTTTAGCTGTCACCCTATTTGTCTAAACTGCTGCCTAGTGCTTTTAAATGACTCGGGACTAGTGTCAATCAAATAATAGTCACAAATAATTTATTCCCAGTATTGCCAAATTTTATGAGGTCTTTCTTCTTCATATGTGCTACCAGCTCTTCCCAACAAGATAATATTCACATTTTTTAGAAAGTATGGTTTTGCCATTGACCTGACAACCTTACTGATGATGGAAAGGGACAAGATTCCCAGCACAGAAAGGAGAATTGAGAGTGGACTAGTAAGACACAAACGGTATTAGTGGTAGAAATCATAGAATCATAGAATAGTTAGGGTTGGAAAGGACCTTAAGATCATCAAGTTCCAACTCCCCTGCCATGGGCAGGAACACCTTGCACTAAACCATATCACCCAAGGCCTCATCCAACCTGGCCTTGAGCACTATTCTATTCTTTAGTCCCTGAATTAATAAGCAGTTCACCAGCACACATAGTTCTGTTGATAAGAACATAATAGATGTTCCTTGTCACAGTAGTGAGTATCTTACTGTGCAAGTAATTTCTTTGGGTTTCTTTTAATGTTCTGGAATATGCTTTGCTGTCATGCTTACTTTCTTATGAGGGAGAGAGAGAGAATCTGATTCAGAGTGCATGAACAATTCAAGCCTCTTTTTTTTTCTTTCAAAGTCTACTTACAGTTCTCTTGGCTTCCATCACCATGTGTAGAGCAAATTGATTGCCAGTTGCTATGTCTCCATTGTATTTCTTCAGTGCTGTGTCGACAGCTTTAAAGACATCAGGATCTTCACAGTCCAAAAATTCATATAGAAGAGGGGTGGCTCTGCTAGAGAAAAAGCTACAGCAGAGTGCTAGTACAATAAGATAGATCATAATTAGATTACAAAAAAAAGCCCCCCCTGAGTTAGAAGGCTCTTTAAAAACCAAAGGGAAAAGGAATGCTTGACAGGGTTTTAGTCACCTCTCCTGTTTTTCAGGAGCTACAGCTAAGTAAACAGAATGAATGGGCTGCTGGGGTTGGTTGGTTTTCATCATACCCTGTTTATACTGCAAATAAACTTCTGAGTTTATCTAAATAAACTTTATGTGGTCACCAGAATGACACTAGGGTTATCCACCTGCCATCAAGATAACAGGCTAAATGGCTGCAGCTGGAGACAGGATTAGGCTAAATATGATGGCCCCTGGGCAAAAGAGAAAGCAGAAAGTTTGTAGGTTTCTAGCTTCTTAAAGTCTAAACTGCTACTGAGAATCTATTTTTGAAGGCTTAAATAAAACACCCAAGAATGTCACAGTACCAATGAAGTTCTGGTTTTGGACAGCAACCCTGTAAATTTTATAGATCTGTTTAGTGTTCAGACTGCAATAGTTCTGAGAAGTCAGAACATGTTTGAAAAAGCCTTTGAACAGATGCGTATCATTGAATGTCGCATAACTCTTCAATGACACTTGATAAACCTTGCCCTTCATGCTACTCTTGGAAGGGTCCATCTTTGCTGCCATATGACAGCTGCCTTTGGACCATGGATTAGTTAGTCTTCAGAATGTTTTGTTACCATTACAGGTAGGGAAAGTGATGCCCAAGAACAGGTGATTGAATATGTTGCCTGTGTCTGTCAGAGCCAGAATCAGAGCTGGCTGGGAACATCTGGTGCTTATCTCCAGTGCTGAGTACCAAATAGCTTTGCTTTAAATCTGTGAATGCTTTAGGATTGCCTCAGCTCCATTGTTCTAGTTTTATCTTGCTGTATTGAGTTTGCATGGCAAGGTTTTGGTAGTGGGGTTGTACAGATGTGGCTTTTGTGAGAAGCTGCTGAAAGTTTCCCCCATGTCCAATAGAGCTGATGCCAGACAGCTCCAAGACAGAGCTGCTGCTGCCCAAGGCTGAGCCATTCAGCAAATGGTAGTGCCTCTGGGATAACATATTAAGAAGGGGGCGGGAGGAGCTGCACAACAGCAACTTCAGCTGGAGAGGGGAGTAAAAATATGGGAGAGAAACAGCCATGCAGACATGAAGATCAGTGAAGGAGGTGCTCCAGGTGTTGGAGCAGAGAAACCCCTGCAGCCTATAGGGTGGCCCATGGTGAAGCAGACTGTCTTCCTGTAGCCCATGGAGGTCCACAGTGGAGCAGGGGGATGCTCAAAGGAGGTTGAGACCTTGTGAAAAGCCTGTGCTGGAGCAGAATCCTGGCAGGACCTGTGACCCCATGGAGAGAGGAGCTCACGCTGGAGTAGGTTTGATGGCAGGACTTGTGACCCAGCAGGGATCCACACTGGAGCAGTCTGTTTTTGAAGGACTGCACTCTGTGGAAGTGACCTGCACTGGAGCAGTTCATTAGGAACTGCAGCCTATGGGAAGGACTCATGGTGGAGAAGTTAGTGGAGGATTGTCTCCTGTGGGAGGGAGCAGGGGGACTGTGAGGAGTTCTCCCCTGGGGAGGAAGGAATGGCAGAGACAATGTGTGATTCTGTGACCACAACCCCCATTCACTGTTCCCCTGCACCGCTGGGATGGGAGGAGGTAGAGAATTTCTGAATAAAGTTCAGCCTAGGAAGAAGGGAGAGATGGGTGGAAGGTGATTTTAAGATGCAGTTTTATTTCTCATTATCATATTCCGATTTGATTTGTAATAAACTGATTTCTCCAAGTCAAGTCTGTTTTGCCCTTGACAGTAATTGCTGGGTGATCTCTCCCTGTCCTTATCTCGACCCACAAGCCTTTGGTTGTATTTTCTCTCCCCTGTCTAGCTGAAGAGGAGAGCGGTGGACTCCAGCTGGGGTCAACCCACCACATTTGCTACAGGTTCTGCTTAAAGAAAATACACTTTAGAGGCTTTGTGGATTAACTGTGCCAGAAATAAGGCTCTTCATACATGGTAATGCACTTTTAAAAATTAGACAACCTCCATTCAGTTACACAAAATGCTGTTTTCCCATTTTGTTTCTTTTTTCTCCAGCATAGCCCTTGCGGTGTATTTTACTTTATGCCATTAAAAATCTACTTTGAGGACCAAATAACTAATTTTTTAAGATTAATCCCATGTTCTTTCTTATGAGATAACCATTCTGAACTAACTCATTGACATCCCAGGTGTGTATGAATGGACTTTAACTTGATGGGGGCTACAGTTCATAGAGACACAAGTATTCTTTCTTCCTGCTCCTCCCAGCTCCATTTCCAGTGAGGAAGGTTCAATGATAAAGAAAACATTTACATGAAATAGTTATTACATGCATTTTCTTTTCTCCTCTTCTGAGAGCAATTATGAACTGTTTGAAAAGGGCTGTCCTTGAATGCAGTATTTCTGGCATATCACCACCTATAACTGTACCAATGTAGCAGGCCACCCTGCTGTGTTAAACTCCAAGTTATTGACTATTCTCAGATCTTTTCTAAATAATATTGGGAACGCAATCACTATTGGTCAGTGTATCTTAGAGTATGCCTCATGGGTGTTTACTGTGCAGCTAAACTTACATAGTAACAAAAAAGACAAAACTTTGGCAACTGTGTCAAGAAAAAAAGAAAGTGTACATATTTTTATTTTCTTTAAATTTTTATAAAGCATGAGTGTAGTGTTATGGATTATTTTTTATGGAAATTGGTCAGATTTCCTTGAGTCAGATTTCCTCAGAGAAGTATATTATGATTATGAATTATGAGAAAATGAAAGATTTTACATAGTAGTTTTGGCTATTAGGACATTTTGGTTTTTGTTAGAACTAAAGCAGTAGTGTTTGCTGGGGAGATTTGTACCCATTCACATTATCTGAGGGACTCAGAACTTAGAGCCTTTCAGTTACAGTGTAGTCTGAGATAGATGGGATCAAGAGGCAGGTTGGAATACCTAAGCATTAGTTTTTGTGCTGCTTCTTAGAAATTATATCTTTTTCCCCCTTCTCCACATGGTGTTTTCATTCACTGTACAGCTGTCATTAGCCCTGCAACTCTCAAACCAGGAACACCTCTCTGTGGTCATGTAGATTTTTCTGCCATGGAGCTATGTGGAAATAAAGGCAAAATTTTTGGAAGAACAAGTTTGGGCATTCCTGGGCATGACTTTGATTGTGTAAGTTGATCTAGAAAACCTGGAGCTTCTGGTATCTCCTTGAGATTTGAGCTAGTGAAGGGAATACCTTCACCAGAATGAGAGTTGCTTTGGAATAGATTAAGAAAGTTTGCAGTGGGAGGTGTGAGAGAACCCTGCTGGTTTAGAACTGGAATGCGATAGAGAGCTTCTGTTATTTGGAATGGAATATACTTTCCTGACTTGTTTGTCTTGTTGCAGTGATGTCTATAACGGTGATCATGGAAATGAGGAGGGTGATGTGGTCCATGATGGGGAGGAGGAGGGGGGTGGTGATGTGGCCCATGAGGTGGGGGAGGACAGTGTGGTCCGTGATAGGGAGGAGGATGGTGGTGATGTGGTCCATGAGGAGGGGGAGGACAGTGTGGTCCATGATGGGGAGGAGGATGGTGGTGATGTGGTCCATGAGGAGGGGGAGGACAGTGTGGTCCATGATGGGGAGGAGGATGGTGGTGATGTGGTCCATGAGGAGGGGGAGGACAATGTGGTCCATGGTGGGGAGGAGGATGGTGGTGATGTGGTCCATGAGGAGGGGGGGGACAGTGTGGTCCATGATGGGGAGGAGGATGGTGGTGATGTGGTCCATGAGGAGGGGGGGGGCAGTGATGTGGTCCATGATGGGGACCAGGAGGAGGAGGATGTGGTGCATCATCAGGAGGAGGAGCAGAAGGGGAATGTTGTGATTCTTCTTGGGGAGGAGGATGTGGTTCATCATGGTGAGGAGGAGGGGGATGATGTGGTCCACCGTGGGGAGGAGGTGGAGGGCAGTGGTGTGGAGGGTGAAAGTGGTGATGTGGTCCATCATGGGGGGGAGGAGGAGCAGGTTCTTCATGGCTGTCTTGATGTTCTTCCTTGAAACTGTGGTCATGCTCGGGGTCTTCGGGTCTGGACTGAGAAGAGGGTGAACATCCATGTCTGTGATGATGTCTGTGGCCAAAATGACGATGGGGATGTCTGTGTGGTTGTCCCAGAGCTGAATATCTGCATCTTTTCCCATAGCCATGCTTTTGTTTGCAAAAACACCAGGGGATGAAGTATTAAGATGTTAATAGGACAGAAGAAAGTGGTGAGAAAGAAACAGAAGTGAGAGGTAGTAAGTTTGCATTTATGGATCAGGTGAACCCCCAAACTAAACTCTGCATCTTTTCAGGATAGAAGAGAAGGAGTAGATGGTAAAACGCTAAATTACTGAAAATTGTCTGGAAATACTACACCATAACAAAATGAATGAGCTAAATTAGCAAAATGAGCAAAATTTGTGATGTATCAAAACAAATGAACCCCACATTGGAGTAGCTGTCATAATATAAACTGGAGTGCCAAGTATGGTAAAGAGCATCTCCCCTCCTCTTGCTTTCTAAAATTCCTCTGAACTTGTTTGCCAATCTCTATTCACTTCAACAAAGGAATATGATTGGACTAGGAGGAGACACCGTTGGAGTGAGTAGTAGGGATAGCTCAGCTCTAATTCATTCACTGATTGACCTAGCAGTCAAAAGCCAGCCTGTTCTGACATTCTGCATCACACCCAGGCAATAATAAGGGGACATAAACAGTCATTCCAATCACCCGTCAATCTGGACTAACAGATGATTAAGTAGCCTGCATGAGGATATAACCAGAGACATTTCAGTAAGTGAATACATACCCAGGGATGGTAGATTTCACAGCTTATATCTGTTCCATCAGGTTCATCTGAACCACTGATAATTCTTGCCTTGCAGAATCCCACATGCTAAGCAAAAAAAAAAGTTAAAAAACAGTGCACATCTGGGTTCTTGTGATGGAGTTAATAGAAGCTACTGGAAGTTTAACATTTTGAAAGCTAGGCTAGTTCCTTCAATACCTAAGTATGTTTATGTAATTTGGCTAGATCCTGAGCTTTCTGGACAGTGATACTTGTCAGTGATTAAT